AGATTTAAGGTTAATCCTGATGCTTTGGAGAAAATATTAATTAACTCAAGTGCTTTAGGGGTTTGGTCTTCAAAAACATTGTGGTGTCATCAGCTAATTGACTAATTATAATTTGGTCACTTAAAACTTTCAATTTAGGTATATTTGAGTTTTTCATGAAAATACTCGTCACTTCAACAGCCAAGACGAAAAGAAAGGGAGAAATATTGCAGCCCTGTTTTACTGTTAATGGAGAAATGTGGAGACGCACCATGTGGCTCTGTGTGATGTTATCTCACTCTGGACAGGGAGAAGCTATTCCGACAGAAAATCATTTGAGCACCGGCAGCTTTTATTTTGAAAAGACGACAGATCCATTGTAAAACAGCGAGTAACTTATTGTTTCAAAATTATGATTTGTTTTCAGATTTCTTCTGCTGCCGTTATAAAGACTTTATTATTCTACAGAAGTTTGGCCCAAATCCAAACAAGTGTAAAACTTTGAAAAGAAACTGATGCTCCAAAATATCAAAGGTTTTGGGTTTCAGGGTGACAATGCCCCGCAGGACAATGCCCCGTAGGACAATGCCCCGCAGGACAATGCCCCACAGGACAACGCCCCGCAGGACAACGCCCCGCAGGACAATGCCCCACAGGACAACGCCCCGCAGGACAAGGCCCCGCAGGACAATGCCCCACAGGACAATGCCCCGCAGGACAATGCCCCGCAGGACAATGCCCCACAGGACAACGCCCCGCAGGACAACGCCCCGCAAGATAACACCCTGCAGGACAGCACCAGGGCCTAATATGATACATGCCTACTATCTAAAGAAACTCACTGCTCTCCATGAGCGACTGGCAGGCCAAATGAACCAGCTGGTACAAAGTGGGACTCACCCTGAATGGTTAACTGAAGGGCGAGTCCCACTAATCCTGAACCCCCTCAGCCAAATAATCAACAAGACTGGCTACGGATACCGACTCAAAAATGGGGCCAACATCAGTCACCTCCTCTACATGGATGACATCAAGCTGTATGCCAAGAGTGAGCGAGACATCGACTCACTGATCCACACCACCAGGATCTACAGCACTGACATTGGGATGTCATTTGGACTAGAGAAGTGTGGTCGGCTGATCACAAAGAGGGGGAAGGTGATCTGCACAGAAGGAGTCTCACTCCCACAAGGAACAATAGCAGACATAGAGGACAGTTACAAGTACCTAGGTATACCACAAGCAAATGGCAACCTCGATGAGGCCACAAGGAGAGGAGCCACAGCTAAATACCTCCAACGAATAAGGCAAGTCCTGAGAAGCCAGCTCAATGGCAAGAACAAAATCCGTGCGATAAACAGCTATGCCCTGCCAGTAATCAGATACCCTGCTGGAATAATTAGCTGGCCAAAGGAGGAGATAAAAGCCACAGATATTAAGACTAGAAAGCTACTAACAATGCATGGAGGGTTCCATCCCAAATCCAGCACCCTGAGACTGTACACGAGCCGCAAGGACGGAGGCAGAGGACTAGTGAGTGTGAGAACCACTGTCCAGGACGAAACAACTAAGATCCATAAATACATCAGGGACAAAGCCTCAACAGACAATGTGCTCAGTGAATGTCTCAGACAACAGGGAACGGAGGTTGAGGTGCCAGAGATACCATCATGGGAGGACAAACCCCTACATGGGATGTACCACCAGCAAATAACCCAAGTGGCTGATATCAGTAAATCCTACCAATGGCTGGAAAAAGCTGGACTCAAGGACAGCACAGAGGCCCTCATCCTGGCCGCCCAGGAACAGGCCCTAAACACCAGAGCAATAGAGGCCCAGATCTACCACACCAGACAAGACCCAAGGTGTAGGTTGTGCAAGGAGGCCCTGAGACAGTCCAGCACATCACAGCAGGGTGCAAGATACTGGCAGGGAAAGCGTACATGGAGCGACATAACCAAGTGGCAGGCATAGTGTACAGAAACATCTGTGCAGAATATGGACTGGAAACCCCAAGATCAAAGTGGGAAACACCCCCAAAGGTGGTGGAGAACGCCAGAGCTAAGATCCTGTGGGACTTCCAGATCCAGACAGACAAAATGGTAATGGCGAACCAACCAGACATTGTCGTAGTGGATAAACAACAGAGGAAAGCCGTTGTGGTAGATGTAGCAATACCAAGTGATTGCAACATCAGGAAAAAGGAGCATGAGAAACTGGAGAAATACCAGGGCCTCAGGGAAGAACTGGAGAGGGCCTGGAAGGTGAAGACCACAGTGGTGCCTGTGGTCATCGGGGCCCTCGGGGCAGTAACCCCCAAACTGGAGCAGTGGCTACAACAGATCCCAGGAACAACATCAGACATCTCAGTCCAGAAATGTGCAGCAGTCCTTGGCACAGCCAAGATACTGCAGGACCCTCAAGCTCCCAGGCCTCTGGTAGAGGACCCGAGCTCAGAGGAGAAGAACCACCCGCGGTGGGTGAGAAGGGAATTTTTTTTTTTTATAAACTGGTTAAACTGGTTAATATATATATATATATATATATATATATATATATACTGGTCATTACAACACTCAGTTAGAAATAATGTAATTTAATAAATGCACAAACACTGAATTTAACATTAACTACAGTTTATTGCATTATTAGATTTATTTCTAAGCATTTGTACATTAAAGCATTGAAAGCATAAAGGTGAACTCTTTAATGTTTTTAGCCACAGACAGTCAGAACATCATGTTTGTCAGCAACAAGCTGCAGAACCGCAGGTTAAACTGGTTAAAGTGGTTAAACTGGTTAAACTGGTTAACTGGCTGAAGCTGCTGAGATTTTAACAGTTCAGACATTTAAAATCAAATAAAAACATGAGACTGAAGTGAGAATGAAACATTAAATCCATTCATGAGGGAAGAAACTAAAACATTCAGATGAACATTTGTCTCCATCTGAGTCGATGTTTTTCTCCTGCATTCATTTATTGTCAGAATCATAAATCAGATTCTTCTGAATGAACAACTTTCCAGTGTCTAAAAGAAACTATGTGAGGAACAGAACTGATGTTTTCTTCCTGTTGTCAGTGGATCCAGTTTCACATCAGCAACATTTTCAGTTTCCAGAGTTTCAGCATCAAAGTTTTTCTTCTTCTTCTGTCATGGTGGCGTACAGAACAGTAGTGAAGCAGCGCCGCCTCAGAGCTGCAGAAGAAGAAAACATCAGGTTACTGAATCATTTAGCTGCAGCTAAGCTAGCCTCTTAGCACCACTGCTGCTAGCCCCAGGCTAACTGACTAGCCTGGGGCTAACTGCTGCTAGCATGGCTAATGCTAACTGACTAGCCTGGGGCTAACTGCTGCTTGCATGGCTGATGCTAACTGACTAGCCTGAGGCTAACTGCTGCTAGCAAGGCTAATGCTAACTGACTAGCCTGAGGCTAACTGCTGCTAATAGATGTTGAACTATAAAGTGACTCATTGCTAAAGCTTCCTGTCAGTAGAAATTTAATTATTACATAAATATCACAGGATTATGGATCTGATCAGATGTTCCTGTCTGGATGTTCTCTCTGGATAATCTGGATTATCTGGTTAATCTGGATTATCTGGGTAATCTGGATTCTCTGGTTAATCTTAATTCTCTCTAGTTAATCTGGATTATCTGGGTAATCTGGATTCTCTGTGGGTAATCTGGATTATCTCTGAGTAATCTGGGTTCTTCCATCAGGTATCAATGTTACATTAATCTGATTCTCTAAGTTACTGTCTCTGGATTAACTCTGGATGTTTTCTGGCTGCTTGTCCAGTGAAGAACAACAGAGATAATGTTGAGTTTATTAGTAGTTTAATTAAAATACGTTTGTTTCTTTATCAGTCGTTTCTCTAATCATCTCATCACTGCAATGGACTATTAAAGGCCTTTCTATCAAACCAGAACAGCCGTCTAAACTCATTGATTTCTGATCGGTCTGATCAGTTCAGTCACTAAGCTGCTGCTTCTTCTCACCAATGTGAAAACTGGGGCCAATATCTGATTATTTCCAATATCACAGAGATTAAATATATATTTAGTTTCACTTCAGACGCTCTAAAAGCGACCACACTACCTCTACTCAGCAGCAGGGGGCGCTGAAGGTTCTGAATCGGTTAGAACCGCCCTGGAGGAAAACATGGCGGTCGGCACCACATTTCCACCAGTAACCAGTGAACACAGGCGGCCTGCAACCCGCCTGCAATCCGCCCACCACATCAACAGGAATTATTTTTATCACCAGACGTTTTTCTCTCCTTATTTGGAGTCTTTCAGACCAAAACGGTCCAGTCAAAGTCCCAGAAGCTGTGATAGCAGAAGCAGAAGTGGTCTGTGGTTTGCGTCGTCGCTCTGCAGCATGACATGTTCCTGTGAAGTCAGCTTCATTCTAGTTGTCACCTCAAGCTTTGTATGTTTTTTTAACATGAATATAATTGTTTTCAGATGAATCTGTTAAATCTGCACATCATGGCGGTTCAGGGTCAGACAGGAAACTGTAAACTCAACTTCATGTCCTTTTTCTCAGAACCGATCAGAAGTTCTGCTTCCTGCAGGCGTCGCCTGGTTTCTGCTTATTGATTCTGGTCATAATTTTAGAAACTGATAGTTTCTGTTCCTGTGATGAAATGAGACTTCAGGCTGATGGAGACCAGAAGCTGATCGGTTTAAACATGTCGACATAAAGATATTTGATACATTATGTGGTTATTAGCTGCTGAGAGGAGATCAAACCTGATGCTGTTTATGTATACAGATTATGAATGTATGTAAAATAATCCCCATTTGAGTTTTGAATGAATTATTACTTAATAACATGAACAGAATCTAAGATGGAGGCCAGAAAATCCTATTTAGGAAACATTTGCTGATTAATCTGAAATTATTACAGAAACACATGAACAGAATCACCGTTTCCTGTTCCTGGTTTGGTTTCCTTCTGTTTACTCTGGAACATCCTGGTATTTCTGTCAGTGATGTCATCATCTCCTCTTCCTCCTTTGTTACCTGAAATAAATACAAAGTTACCAGGAAGTTTTTAAAAACATCTGAAAAGTTTCAACGAACGAAATCAGGAGATTTAAGCAAGAAGTTTGTTTACCTTTGGTTTGCTGTACAAATATACGACCAATTCAACCAGTAAAAACAGGAAAACCAGAACACAGAGAGATACGGTGGGAAGCAGCACTGGGAGAGAGACGGAGGCAGAACCAGAACCAGGTGGGTCTGTAGAACCAGAGATGCTGCTGGGTTGGTCTGGAAAGAAGAAGCTGCTAAATAACCGTCTGCTGTAAACATCAAGACTCAGAGATGAAGGAGAAGCTGCTGACCTGAGGAAGAGGAGGAGGAGGAAGGTGGAGAGGTTGGAGGTTTCCCTAGAATAAAGAGCTTGGTTAAATATATGACCAGATTGTGGATTCTCAGACATGATCAATGAGATTCACTGTTAGAGGATGACCTCTGACCTTTGACAGAGACCCTGCTGGATGGAGACTCTCCAGAACCGCTGATGCTACATTTATAGAGGCCTTCATCAGAGCTGGAAACATGGAGGAGGGTCATGCTGCCTGCTGATCCATCACCAATGAAGACGCCATCTTTATAGAAAGCAGCTGGGAGGTTGTGGGTTGGATTCCTTGCTCTGCAGCTCAGAGTGACGTCATCTCCCTCCATCACAGGGAGGACAGGACTCTGCAGGATCACTGATCCTTTCAACACAGAGACAAACTACAGCATTTCATCCATTTCCACACAGCAACACTAACTCCACAGTCTGATCTTACCAGAGACAGAGAGCTGGATGCTGCAGCTGCAGCTGCTGCTGCTGCTGCTGCAGCTGCTGCTGCTGCTGGAGGATCCAGATTCACACCAGTACAGACCAGTGTCCCTTTGGAGGAGGTAGGTCAGGTTACAGGTGGAATCATCCACTGCTCCCCATCCATCTCCACATGGCTTCCTGGTCTCTCTGCTGGTGTTTCTCCTCACTGTCCATCCAGCTGATCTGTTTTCATCCTCACAGATCAGAGTCACTGATTCTCCTTCAATGAACTGGGATCTGCTGGGACTCACAGTCAGATGAAGTGGGAGGACTGGGATGGAAGAGATAAAGAATGCATCTGTTATTCCAGCAGTTATTCTTTATTATTATTCAGAGAATTGATCCAGAAAGATTTATAATATTTAAAAGGTTTTATGTGAAATATTACCAACCTTCACTTGATGTCCAGAATAGCAGTGAGATCAGAACTGAAATGAAATAAGTTTTATTTTAACAACCTTTGTTCATAAAATATTAACCAACATCAGAATTTCTACATGAATGTGATTCATTTATAAAGTTGACATTTAAAATATTTTAAAAACTTCTTGTGTCAATATTTCAATTTACATGTTTTCTTCTGGAATATTTTATTTTCTGTACTTCATTTGGAAATATTAAATGAACTGAACCAAATATTTTGTGGTTTCATTGGTTTCCCTTCTTATCAATCAATATATTGCTCATTGTTTTCTGCTTTTTGCTTCATAAACTTGTTATTTTATGGTTTTTCTGCTACCATTCTGAGTTTGTAATGACATCATCAAGCTTTTTATTGAACCATATTTATATGCAATATAAATTAAACTGACTTTAATATTCTTAGTTTGAATTCAGAACCTTCAGATCAACTTTTCTTCTTTCTCCTCGTCTCCATATCAATTATTAAACATTATTTCTGTACTTACAGATCAGACGCTGAGCAGCTGCTTCCCTCATGGCTGCAGACTTTGACTGGACCGTTTGACTGGAGGAGAGTTAGAGGAAGAAACAGACTCCGCCTCTTCCTTGACACGTTATGGTTTCAGCAGAAGCAACATTGAGGTAGTTTCTACTGAACACTCAGTGATATTAAGCTCCAAAGGTTAAATAATAGAAAATATTATGAATCTTAGTGAATTATTTCTAGATGTTGTTTTTTAGCACAGAATAAATGAACACAATGCATCAGGATAATAAATGTTTTCATGAAACTTTAAACCTGCCTGTGTTTGCAGGGTTCATGTCCAGCAGCCATTAGTGAGAGACGGATCCATCACTGAGAAAACATTCTGGACTCTCGGCTCGTCGCATTACAGCTGCACTTTGTAACAGATTATAATCTGTGAAACAATTGATCTCCTAGAAACAACCAATCAGAGCCTAGAGGCGGGTCTTAGTGCTGCCAATCACTCTCTATGTGTTGCTGCTCCTACCCTTCTCTCCCTCTCTCTGTCCTGACAGGGCAGCCAACATACCCTGTCAGGAATGCTAAGCTAGTTAGCAGAGCAACCGGTTTTCCTGTAACTGTCAGTGTTTCTCTGTCATCAGTGTGATGTTATCTCACTCTGGACAGGGAGAAGCTATTCCGACAGAAAAATCATTTGAGCACCGGCAGCTTTTATTGTGAAAAGACGACAGATCCATTGCAAAACAGCGAGTTGCTTATCGTTTCAAAATTATGATTTGTTTTCAGATTTCATGTGTTGTGTAAAGATTAAAAGAGGAAGAATATCTTGATTTTGCTTGTTAATTCTCCTGTGTTCCCCAGATTATTGAGCCTCAGCGTGCGCAGGGAGAAAGAACAATCATACGACATCAAACTTCAGATATCTAGAGCTTTATTCAGAGAATTCAATGCATACAGAATGTTACAATAAGCATCTCACCCAGATTATCAAAAGTCCACGAAGTGACAAAACAGAAATATCTGCACGAGTTGAAAGGAAGAACAGGAAGAAAGAACAGAAAATGCATTTTCTGGGAATCGCGGACTCGGGCAGAAAGCAATTCGACTTCTGTGTTGCAAAACAAAACTTTTATAAGACTGTATTTCCCAAAATTTAAACATATGCATTAGAAGGTGTGTTTTTCCCTTTGTGAGGGCTGTCTTAATGTTAATTTTATTATCTCTGGGGCCTGCTAAAACACCCACATCTTTTCGTACCAGCCTCTCGCCCAGGCCATGATTTATGGCGTGCAGATGGACCGTTCTCTGCCTCAAAAAGAAAGTAGTTTCCTAATTCTATTGTATTTAAGTAATATAAAATGCATGCAAATAGTATGGTTAAAAACTAACTCATTCAAAACATGTTGTTTAATGCTTAAGGAAATATCTTAATATGTTTGATTATACTTTGGAGAAGACTTTGAAAGTTTTAATGTCTCACTGAACTATTGACCCAAAGAATTTATTGTCCTGATAGCAGACAGACTCCCTGTCTGAAAACCCTCCTCAGAAATTTTATAAGTTCTGAGAGTCGCCAGTTGTTTTAGTTTGGATTTTTATCTAAGTTTATGTTAACGTAAAGTCTACTCTAAATGTTCATGGTATATTTCATATGCATAAAGATTAGCCTGTGTACGATTGTGCTATTGTCAAAATTATATTTTAACAGTTGCAAATGAAAATGTGAATTATTATCTTTCCTGTCGAATATACTGAGTTCAACAGAGACTTTATTAAACGGTGATGAATCTGTGTTAGCAGCTATTTAGCTGCTCTTTTGCTAAAATAAAACATTGCTAATTAAAATGCTTCATGCATTTGCTGAAAATAATGTTCATGGTCAAACAGGTTCTGTTGAACATGGATGAGAAAAACCTGCTTTGGCTTCTATGTTCTGCTATCTGAATGCAGGTATGTGATGTTTCATTATTTATGGTGTGGGATTATTTTGTTTGATAATTTTTTTCATCTTAAACAGTGAATGTTTTAACAAATAGTAAAACTAAAAGTTACAGACTCCAGATTTAACTCAGCCGGAGTGTTTCTCTGAGAGGAAACTGGAAAACCCAGAGAGTTGTGATCTGTAAAATTAGTTTCTGGGATTTTATTTGCCGTTTCCTGTTGCTCCAGTTCTCCCAGTAGATCTCCTCTGGTTTCCTCCTCTGTTTATCGTCTCCTCGTGTTATGTGCCAGCTGCTGGGGACCAGATGACCTTTCACCCTGCTGGGTCCTCAACTCTTTTCATCTACTCTCTACAGACACCAGGCCGCCACCTAGTGGCTAAGAACACGCGATCAGAGGAAGAAATGCTGTTTCATGTTTTAAAAGTTTTAAAGTAACATTTACAGGTGGAACAAAGAGAAAAGGTTTAATAACAGCGGAAATACTGCATCAAATTAACGATCACTCAGATGACCCAGCAGCACGTAAAGGCAGCATGACTTAAAGGAGCGAGGAATGTCATAACAGCAAAGAGTGTTCACTGCTCTATTTTATCAAATAAAGAAAATACAACATATGATTATGTTTGATGGAAGCATTTATGTCTTCCTAAAACATAAATGCTTAAAAACCAGACAGTTTCCTAACAAAGCTCATAATGTACATTCAGTGTTGAGTCGCTAACTTTCTCCTTGTTGACAAGGTTACCGGACAAAATATGTCAAAGATAGTTTGGTCCTAAGAACGCTCACTCGGTCATATTTCTACAAATACAATAAGTTAAAGGTTAATAATAATGTCACACCCTTATTACATTTCAACCCAAAATATTTTACCAATTCTTAGAATTAATTTTGTCATACAATTAACTAATTATGAACTTCATTACCAACTTATAGAGGTCGTGCATTTCCACCAAATTATATTACAATATTTGACCAAATTGGTATAACATTGGGACTAATTTCCAGTGCTAGAGGTTCATGCCTCAGATCAACGACCCACAAAACCTATAAATAATGTAATTATAATGTTACATATTAAGTCTATAATATGTGATCTAACACAATGTTCTGGAAAGTCTTATAATTACATAATTAAACGTAGAAGCTCGTGATGTATTTTTAGAAACATAACCGAGTGAGCGTTCTTAGCACCAAACGATCTTTGACGTAGATTTCTCCAGTAACCTTGTCAACAGTAATTCAGTCAGGGGAAAGTAAGCGGGCCATGAACGTCGAGTCTGAATTATACATTTCATAGCTCGGAAAACGTTTGTCTTTGTAAGTATTTGTGTTTTAGGAAGACTGAGAAATATATGTGGCTGTTTTTTATTTGGTTCCTATTGTATAGAGCAGTGTATGTAATCTTTCAGTGTACCCTTAATATTTGCGTATCGGCTGTTAATGTATATTTCCTTCTGTTGTATTTCAGTTATAAAAACGTCGTGAGTTAGAATTAAGATGAAGGTTCGGTCAGTAATGTATTTTTCCTTCTGTTGTATTTCAGTTATAAAACAAACGGTAAAGCGCTGCTGAAGTGTTTCTGCTAAACTGCAAAAAAACCTAAAAATAGAAGAAGCTAGCTCTGCTAAGCTAGCTCTGCTAAGCTAGCTCTGCTAAGCTAGCTCCACCTCTATGTTTTCCCGCCTGTGCAGGCCTCTGTCGTGATTAATACTAATTTCTCCGCAATTCTAACAGATTCTTGTGTTTTCAGTTAAACTTCAGGTTTTTTGGTTTTTCTTGGAGATATTTTCCACTCAGAAACGTCGCATGAATCTAAATTTGGGACGGAGAGACCGACGCACCCAGGAAATGTCTTCTTCCTCTCTGCCTGCCTCTCTGTTCCTGCTGTCTGTGGTTTTCTGGCAGTTTGTCGCTGCTGCAGGTGAGTCAGCTGTTACCATAGAAACATTTGGAGCGCTCTTGCCTAACGTAGCTAACGTGACGTAGAGCCGCCATCTTGAACAGGTGTCATGCTGAGTATCACGTGCCCTGTCACTGGAGCGCGTCGCTCTAAACTCGCATATTGATGAGGAAACGGACTGAAATGTGACCGAAGAGGAAACTTTTAAAGATATTTGTAACATTATCACGTTTCTTAACCTTGTAAGCCCTAAAAAGGTGGTTAATTTTACAGATTAATTGACATAAATACGGGTTTTCAGTGTCTAATGAAAATGTTTTCCGCAGCTTGTTTGAATCCACAGATTTTTCTTTTAACACCATAAAAGCTTCAAGCTAAAAAACAGAGGCTCGTTATGTAAAACATTTTATATCATCCTTAAACTTCTAGTCTATTAATGTAGGGAGATGCAATTTAATTTCTGAGCTTGATAATATTTGCATCCCTGTCTATTGTCCTGTTGATATGAAATTTATTGCAGTAGCTTAGAGAACAAGAGTCATTATGAAAGGTGAAATCCCTCTTAACTCTTTATTTATTCAAGTTAATGAGGATGCATTTTTTCTTGCATAGCAAATTATTAGCCTGGCGATATATGTAATAGCATATATTGTAGCTGACTGAAATAATCTGTTCCTCAGTTAAACTTCAGGTTTTTTGGTGTTTCTTGGAGATATTTTCCACTCAGAAATTTATTGCCATGTTACTCCTATAATACGGGAATAAATTTACTTACCAGAAAGTCTATAACTGCCTATTTCTCTCTTCATCAATAAAAAATCCTGTTGATTTGGTGACATATAATCAGTCAGATACTCTGACTCTCAGTTAGCATTCATAGTTTGGGTTGAACCTGGCATTACACCAAGAATTAAAGCTGATATTAGCTGTTATTTTGCAGGTGGACATAAATACAGTTTAGTAAAATATAAACTATAATATGTTCATCTTAATTATGTAACTTTATCCCCGAGATCTCACATCAAC